GTCATTGCTATGTTTGAGCCCATTGTTGCAGCCACTGTGTCAGTCCATCTCATTGAGGGTCTTCCTCTTTTTCACTGACCCTCTACCTTACCAAGCATGATGTCCTATTCGAGGGACTGGCCCCTCCTAATACATGTCCAAAGTACGTGAGAGAAGTATCACCATCCTTGCTTCCAAGGAGCACTCTGCTGTACTTCTTCCAAGACAGACTTGTTTGTTCTTCACGTATACATTAACATACTCAAATTTTTAACTCAGATCTTTTTGCTTTGCCATGAAATCTTAGCTAGAATTTTTTTGGGTAAGATAGAGAATCATTTTTACCAACAGGAGTGTTAAATCTCTTTCATTCTATGTGCTTGAAATAAATGTGATAGTTTTTTGATTTTGTATTATTGATCATGGTAGTATGGAAGTTATTCAGAGGCGACAGATCCCTTCCAAATGTCTTTGTATAGGTTGCATCCTTAGGAAAAATTTGCTAATTAGAACCGTGAACTTATGAAATTGTCCCGGTTTTGACTGAAGAACGGCAGCACTAACTTAATGGTTAAGGGTATTGATTTGGGAATCTGACATATCTAGTTTGCTGTTTGAGCTAGTTATTAGCTTTGTGACCTTTTGCAACTTACTTAATATTTCTAAAACCCATCTGTAACCTAGGAGAAAATAAGATTAAGGGATGGGCAGCTAGGCAGGTGCTTGGAGAACCACTTTTTAAGAGCTGATAAAACATTATCATAATGTACTATAATGTAATATAACACAACATAGCATCTTTTAATTTTATAAGATATAACCATACAAAAATGGTACAACATGTAATAATATAACAGTATTACATATATAATGGTGTAAAATAATAGTATTTAATAATATAATATCACATATGGAAATATTATGCCAGTAAATTCAGGTCTCCATAAATGAATCATTTTATAATTTTTGAGCTGTAAGTTGGTTTTGCTACTGGTAGAATAGAAAGCGCCCTGTAATGGAAATTTAAAAATACTTCTTAGTGTTGACAACTTGATCTCCATTAAACAAACATTGAAATAAATACTTATAGACTGTTTGAAGCGAGTGTCCATGTTTCTGTGTCCTGCCCTGGTAATAAAATCTATCTCATAGCGTTATTTTGAGGATTAAGCGGACTCACATATTCCGGGGAAGAACCGGGTTTTGTTGGGTCTGAAACTTTAACGATCTGGGGGATCCCTTTTCAGAATAATGATGTAAAATTAAAAACACAAAATGTCTGTGGTTACTCCAATACTAGCCACTCCAAGAGGAAATAAGAAGAGGGGAAGTTGCAATAGAAAGGAATAGGAGGCTTTAGTGATTGGTTAAAATACTTTCCTTTTGCAAATTTTACAAAAAACACATGACCATGTGACCACAAGACTAGGTTCCCTCCCAGGGCCCTGGAAGAAGCCCATGAAAATGTGAGGCCCTTAAGCTTCATCAGTTTCGTGGAATCTCATCCTTTGAAAGTATGTAATGTGTTTATATACTGTCTGGCATAGATTAGGTAGAGATGGCTGAGGGAAGGCTTGAGGTTAGCAAGGCCTGTGTGGTATTCTTGGGAAGTCATTGGCTAAAGTCGAAGGTTTTTATTTGATAATTATGTATTGTGAATTTAATTTTTATGAGCACTAGAATTCATACATGTTTTCTTTTATGGATAGATACTATCAATTAATGGCTAATTATGGAAAGGAGAAGAAAGTTAAACAGACATCTTATTCTGAAAATACAACTTTGAGCACTATATGTGGTCCAGAACTGAAGGAAGGTAAAACAATATAACCTAAACAAGTAGTTTTTCTTGTTATTGCTTTTGGTTTGTTTATTTTTTAAGAAGGGAAACTGCTTTCTTAATTAGTATGTAAATTTGAAACTGAAATTTTCTCCTATTTTGAAAGGATAAATATTTAAAAACGGTTCTTAAGAATATTTGTGATTAGCTTATACACTGTTGGTAGGAACGTAAAATGGTACAACCACTTTGGAAATCGATTTGGCACTTCTTTAAAAAGCTAGAAATAGAAGTACCATACGATCCAGCAATCCGACTCCTTGGAATATATCCTAGAGAATTAAGAGCTATCACATGAATAGATATATGTATACCCATGTTCATTGCAGTACTGTTCACGATAGCAAAAGATGGAAACCACCTAGGTGCCCATCAGCAGAATAATGGATAAACAAATTATGGTATATTCACACAATGGAATACTATGCAATGATAAAGAACAACAATGAAGCTGTGAAACATCTTATAACATGGAGGAATCTGGAAGTATTACGCTGAGTGAATTTAGTTAGTCACAAAAGGACAAATATTGTATAAGACCACTATTGTAAGAGCTCAAAAGATTTATAACACAGAAGAAAACATTCTTTGATGGTTATGAGGGTGCAGAGGGAGGGAGAGGGGTATTTGCTAACTAGAAAGCAGACAAGAATTATCTTAGGTGAAGGGAAGGACAGCACACACTACAGGGGAAGTCAGCACAACTGGACTAAACCAAAGGTAAGAAGTTTCATGAATACAACCAAATACTTTGAGGGACAGAGTAGCAGGGATGGGGTTTAGCGGACCATGGTTTCAGGGGACATATATGTCAATTGGCATAACAAAGTTTTTTAAGAAAATGTTCTGCATCCCACTTTGGTGAGTGGCATCTGGGGTCTTAAAAGCTAGTGAGTGGCCATCTAAGATGCATCAGTTGGTCCCAACCACCTGGAGTAAAGGAGAATAAAGAACACCGTGGACACAAGGAAAGTATTAGCCCAAGAGACAGAAAGGGCCACATAAACCAGAGACTTTATCAGCCTGAGACCAGAAGAACTAGATGGTGCCCGGCTACCACCAATGACCGCCCTGACAAGGAACACAACAGAGAGTCCCTAAGGAGCAGGAGAAAAGTAGGGTACAGAACTCAAATTCTAGTAAAAAGTCAAAACTTAACGGTTTGATTGAGACTGGAGGGACCCTGGAAGACATGGCCGCCGGACTCTCTGTTAGCCCAAAACTAAAACCATTCCTGTGGCCAGCTCTTCAGACAAAGATTAGACTGGACTGTGGGACATAAAATGATACTCGTTAAGAGTGTGCTTCTTAGCTCAAGTAGATACATGGGACTAGATGGGCAGCTCCTGTCCAGAGATGAGATGAGAAGGCAGAGAGGGTCAGGAGCTGGTTGAATGGACATGGGAAATTCGAGGTGGAAAGGAACAGTGTGCTGTCACAGTATAGGGAGAGCAACTAGGGTCACAAAACGATGTATATGTAAATTTTTATATGCGAGACTAACTTGAATTTCACTTAAAGTACAAATAAAAAGAATATTTGTGGTTAGAATATTCTGAAACCGTGTTGACTGAAAATGCAATATAAAGATAAATCAAATGATTGCTTAAGATCTGCTTTTCATCTATAATCTCTTGACTAGTTTTAAAAAAAACAAACACAGAATAATTTTGCAAGTATATAGAGATTTTAATAGATACAAAACTATTATAAATTTTTAAAATTTTATTTAGAAAGCACTTCAGATTAGTATATTTGATTATAGTTACTCTAATATAGACTATATTATTACACAAAATTTTAAATTAAGTAACAGAATATTTGTGAAGAATTGTGTTTTTGTAAAGATTCTAGAGAAACAGAACTAGTTAGATGTAGACAATGGGCGAGAGGAGCCCTGGTGGCATAGTGCTTAAGAGCTCAGCTGCTAACCAAAGGGTGACAGTTTGAATCCAACAGCCACTCCTTGGAAACCCTGTGGGGCTGTTCTACTGTGTCCTGTGGGGTTGCTGTGAGTCGGAATTGACTTGATGGCAACGAGTTTGGTTTTTGGTTTTATATCTTGTAAGATATAGATAGATATATATACATGTATATCACAAGATATATCATAAGATATGTATACATATACACACATATATATACACGTATGTATGTATATGTAAAGAGAGATAGGTAAATAAATAGAAGGAGAGAGACAAAGATTGATTTACTTAAAGGAATTGACTCACAGGATTGTGGGGGCTGGCAAGACCCAAATCTGTGCGTAGATCAGGTAACAGGCTGGAAATTCTGGCAGTCTTATTTCCCAAATCTGTAAGTCAGGTGGTGAGGGAGAGAAGAATTCTGGTAGGATGACTATTTATAGAAATCTCCAGTTTTGCTCTTAAGGCTTTCAACTGATTGGAAGAGACCCACCAGCATTCTTCAGGGTAATCTGTACTTAATGTAAATTTATTTAAATGCTAATCACATATAAATACTTGATAGCAACATTTGGACTAGTGTTTGACCAAACACCTGGGCACCATAGCCTAACCAAGTTGACACATAAAATTAACGGATTTACAGTGCATCTACTAAAATAATTTTTGGTGCTCATTTTCAAAAATATATACAGTTATGCAAACATTCAACGAACATAGCGCTCTCTCTTTTTTTTTGTAAATATGTGCTACATTGGCAATTTTTGTTGTCGAATGAAAGAACAATTCTTACAACTCTCTTCTGTATTCACCAGCAACCATTTTCCTAGCCTACACTTCACCCACAGTTTGAAGAAAAGGGAAGAATAGAGGCAGCCTGGTGGCAACAGGAGATCATATAAATGTCACACTATTCAAACCTTTTCTACCCCCTGAGGTCTTAGTTATGATGCTTACAACAGTGCTTGGCAGTATTTACTCCAGGCAGGTAAACTTAGAAAAATTCCCTGAATTCCCCATTTACTAGTTAATATACAAGCTTTCAAGAAGTTTTGGTCTTTTGGGCTCTTAATCTACATGTAATTCCTCCTCTCTTACCACCTTTTTTTTTTTTTTTTTAAATGTCCACACAACTATGAGAAGTAAGAACTTGTGTGATTGATACTTCATTTCTCAGGGAGAACTAAAGCAGTAGACACTACTGAAGCACCACTGCTATGTTTTGAGTATCTCCTGATAGTAAACAGTTAAAAAACACCCCCAGTCCTTTTACCTTGGAAATACAGATTTCCAGTTTCCAGTGAACTTTCAGGTTGTTAATATTTACATGTTTTAAAGCATTAATAGAAGTATTGTTGTTGTTAGATGTCACTGAGTTGGCCACTGACTCATGGCAACCTCATGAGTTACAAGAGTAGAACTGCTCCATAGGGTTTTCTTGGCTGTAATCTTCACAAAAAGCAGTTTTCCAAGTCTGTCTTCTGTGGAGCTGTTGGGTGGGTTTGAACCACCAATCTTTAGGGCAGCAGCTGATTGCAAACTGCTTGTGCCATTAGATTAAGAAAATATTATCCAAAGACAAAAGATGGCAAACTTGAAAAGTTGTATTTTTGTCAGTTTCCAAGGGGGTAACTTAATTATTTCTTTTTGTAAATGGCTATAAAATGCAGAAGTATCAATGCTAAATTAGAATGGTAAAGCTGAGGCATAGGATTTAAGAAATATATTTAGGAGCAAAAATATTTGAACACAAATGAAGACATTACAAATATAATTTGTTTTCTAGATGTATAACCTCATTTCTACAAATTCTTTGCTGCTTTCTTGAACTAGAAAAGTCTATTTTGAAAGAGCAGTTAAGTGAACCATCATAGCATTTTCACTAACTACCCATTTGAAGAAAAGTTTGTTAAATGGAGATCAATATTTCACCTTAGAAGACATGAAGAAGTTTCAAAAGACAAACACCTATGTCATGAGACATCAGTTTAAAAGACATAATTTGTATTCGGTATATTGGCAGAGAAAAACTTGTAGTTATGGTACAATTGGATATTAGAGTAAACTTTGTTACAAACTGTTAGATATGCATTGGAAAATTTAAAGTAAAAATACTAACATTTCAGTGACACAATTAAGGAAATAATTATAAATAATCATGCATAAAAGAATATTCTCTTTTATATACAAATATTTTCATTGTTAAAGCCTCTTGATTTTTAAAAAATAGTACAGTAATGCATACTCAGATAACTTGGGTATTATAGAAGTGAAAAAAAGAAAATACATCACCCACAGTCTCAGCACCCAAACAAAACATTTGTTAATTTCTGGCTTTTTTTAGTCTTTTAAAACTTGTTTACCTTTTTTCCCCCCCTCAAAGAGAATTTACAACTTTACTTTTTGCTTTTTAAAAACACAATACCTAGTATACTTAAACACAACTATCTTGCTGTACCTTAAACACATCCAGCATGTTGTGACTTCAGGATCATTCCCTGGAAGGCCCTTCCTTTGCATGTCTCCTGGACAGCTTCCTCAGTTCATATGTAACCTCAGAGGAGCCTTCTCTAGATGTCATTCTGTCACTTACAATGCTTTATTATCTATTCTGCTCCTCCTTGCCTTTTGGAATACAAGCTCTATGAAAGCTTGGACTTTGTTTTGTTCATAGCTAAATCCCCACCACTTGTAAAATGTCTGGTGGTGGTGGTGTTGTGTGCCATGGAGCTGATTCTGACTTACAGTGACCCTGTATGACAGAGTAGAACTGCCAGTAGGGTTTAATAGGCTGGAATCTTTAGGGAAGGAGATCGCCAGGTTTTTCTCCTGAGGAGCCTCTGGTAGATTCAAACCTCTGACCTTTCCATTAGCAGCCGAGCGCTTAACCATTGCACCACCAGGGCTCCAAAGATGTCTTGTATATGGTAGGCGTTAAATTTGCTCTCAAAATGTCTGGTATATGGTAGGTATTAAATTTGCTGAATACATAATAACTGACACTTGTTAGGCACTGTTCCAAGTGCTTTACATATCTTAACCCAGGTAATC